AATGCGGTTCGAGATAACTCCGCCTGACAGAAGCACTTGCACATTTGTCAGTCTAAATGAATGCCTCAGACTTTCTGGGCACATCAGTCATAAGGAATATCTCAGATTAATCCTCCTGCTCACACTGTACTCTTTAATGAATGTGATTTCTCACAGACTCACTGTGATGTGGTTGGCAAGAGCTGCAGTTGTTTTTAAGTCAGTTCAAATCAATTGTCTGTTACTCTCTTTGCTCCGTTATGTTAGTTCACAGCTCTCCTCATCAGTCGGTGTGTGCATTTGTTATATGAAGAATCTTATCAAGAACAGATCAAATCCTGACTTCAAATAAGCAATTAAGCATTCTCAGACCATCATGAGGCCTCAGCCTCATAGGCGATCCAAAACTCAAACTGATTTAGTCACTCGTACTGCATCCAGGTGGCATTTGGAAGATGACTGTTTGATATAAATAAGCTATCAGGTCTGATCAGCTTTGATTGCCTAATTTATTCTGTCCAATCAACACTATAATGATGAACATTGAAGAGTCAAGATAAGCCAGTGTGTGTTCTTCATTAGGTAATCATGATGGGCATCTCTCTCTCTCTCTCTCTCTCTCTCTCTCTCTCTCTCTCTCTCTCTCTCTCTCTCTCTCTCTCTCTTTCTCTTTCTCTCTTTCTCTCTCAGCTGTATTCACAATAAGCAGGTGCTGATGGTTGTGTATGTTTCCTAGGCAACCATGCTGATTACCCCTGCTTGTTTCTAATCTGTTGTTCAAAGCAACCAGACATGGCTCAGCACAACACCTGCACTGTCCATCCCCCCACAGGCCCTGACCATACTGTTGTGCTGGGTTTGCCTCCACAAAATGGTTAGATAGACTACATTAGTGTAGTATGGTTGCTTCGCATGCTAGGGTATTTGTACTGGTCTCGTTGTCAGTGCAAGTCTGTATCCCTTAGTGTAGTCGTCTGGGTGCAGTCAGCCAGTGTCCGCTACCTCTGCTGTTCCTTCAGTCCTGGTCTTGGCATTCTGCCTACTCTGCCTCCAGCTACGCCTCAGACGTAAATGAATGCCATTTCAAACAATCCAATTTTTGGCAGGTACAACGACCTAGCAGCTTTTATTGTGCTAACTTGACTGCCTTTATCAAAAAGGTGGTCGTATTTCATCAAGTCAACAAAGAGACAAGCCATGAACACTTTGAACGCTCAAGCAATTTGTGCTCATTTCATGATTTCGCTTTGGTTTCAGATGGAAGAGTTAGACTGTCCTTGCCAAGGGAAGATTAAAACCTCGTCTAGACATTGAAATAGTAACACTTTTGCCTCTTTGTTTCTTCTCCCATGTCAAAGACCGGGGGTACAGTGAAGTATAAGATCTTTTGTTTTCAGCGGTTGAGTGTAATTGATATCAGAATCATAGTTGTCTTTACCCATTAGGCATCTGACCAGCAGCAGATTTCCACCATATTTCATTTTGCTTCACTTCAGAAAAATTATTTTTTTGTGGATTAGGACAACCAAAGGAAGAGATTAGGCCTGTCACAATCATAATATTTTAGCTGAGGAATACTTGCCACATAAATAATTGCGATTTACAGTTAGTGTTTTTTTATATGCAGCTATTATAAAGTATACACCTATGTTGGCTTTTTATTTTATTTATTTATTTTGTTTATTTACATGTATTTGCCTCAACCCAACTAATTAAAACACACTCACTTTTAGAATCAGCTTAAAATGTTTTGGACTGACTACTCCAGACCAAGATTTCACTTCAAACCCAGCTTGCATGATAGAAAGGAGATTAATCTACAGCCTGGTCACCTCTGACCTCCCCCACTTTTTCTCGTGCCTTGACCTTTTGAACCTTAAAGGGGGCTGGGGGCTTAGGTCCAGCATAATCAATAGCCAAAGGCCATCTTTTCAGCAAGGCTGTCTTTAAAAGACGTCTGGGGCCAATGCACTGAGTGGATGGGGGAGCTGATCCTTTAGAATGCAATAGTCGATGAAATGGCAGGTGAAAGGCCTTCCCCCTCTTTGTCTGTTTTAGGCCTGATTGATTATCACTAGAGGCAGAGGCGTGGCCCTGGCCTTTATTTATGTAAGCCATACAATGCAGTGTCACCCCTCTGTACATAGCAGTATGTCCCCAGCATTTTCAGAGGCTGTCTTTGCCCCCAGACTTGAAGAAGTATTTGCCATGGGTCCTGCCTGTCTCACACTAAATCCTCCCTTTGTGGTCTACGGGTAGAGCTGCAGTCTTTGGCAGAGCCGTACTACGCCCTCCCCACAGGGCAAAACTGGAGATGGGGTTTGATTTCAGCTGCAAATGTGTGGGGCACTCCCATGTAAAAGCCCTTTTGCAGATCCATTCAGTGCCCCATGCTTTTATCCCCAGCGTCCTTCCAGTATGTGGGGTTTCATTCAGAGCCCCAATTCATATTTTCTTCTTGCTTTTTAATTGAGACATAATCTTCTTCTGACTTAGTTATAGGACAGGCTGTTCTTGCTCTGGAAGAATCTTTAAACAGTCCTTTTGGCATATGGTGGTGGTCATATATCATTCATAGACGTTTTCTATTAGAGATATGTCTTTACAGTTCTTGTCCTCTGTGCTCAGAGCCATCCCTCCAATGGATCCAGAAACTTGAATTCTATTTAATTGTTCTATGATATCTGCAGTGTCTGCTCTTCTCTTGAGCTTTTTGGATTTGTCATATTCTGAAATGCTTTTTGGATGACCAACAAATTTTTTTCCTCATTTTGAAAATGCTAATAGAGGGCTGACCTGGACAGCATTTATAGGCTGTTGGAGATTTACCATTCTGGAAAGTTCAGATTGAGCAAACCTCAGAGGCTGCCTTTGCCCCTACGCTTGGAGAAGTATTTGCCATGGGTCCAGTCTAACTCGCACAATAAATCCTCTCTTTGGTCTAGGGGTAGAGCAGAAGTCTTTGGCAGAGCCATACTCGCCCTCCCCACAGGGCAAAACTGGAGCTGTGGTTTGGTTTCAGCTGCAAACATGTGCGACACATCCTCTTGAACTCAATAAGGCAGGGGTGCCCAGTCCTTGTGCTGGAGATCTACCACCCTGGAGAATTTAGATTGAAGAAACCTAGGCTGTGTCCAGAAACTTTTGCTACTGCTCCTGTCCTCCCCTTCCTTTCTGCTGCTCCTCTTCTACCCTGGAAGAACGTGAAGGAATCAAGGAGAGGAAAGGATCAGGAGGAATGGAGAGAATGAGCAGAAACTGGAGAAATGGGACAGCTGACTCAACATCATTAAAGCTGATGTTGACCACTGATGAGCTGAGCCTATCACAACATTTGCTTGAAAGCACACCCCTGATACAGCTACACAGTGCTGGCCAGTTCACATTTATGTGTTTTTCTGCTCTGAATCGTTTTTATTTTATTTTACACCAAGTACAAAGTACGCAATACAATGAATATAAAAATGCAAATAAAATACAGAATTTGAAGGTTAGCTGGATTGCTCCATGTTTGTCTGTCCTCTCTGGGCGTGTCTGTAGTGATGTCTCTCTAAAATCTGTAAAAGTCTTCCTGGGTAGCATATACTTGTGTATCCTCCACTGGAAACCGCTTCGTCGGCTATTTTAAGTGGCTTCTCTTGTCTCTTCGGTTTTCAGACAGCTGGTAAGATGGCGTCACGAAAATGGTTTTCAAGTCACAGAGGAGAGGAGGAGGATCAGTTGGAAAAAACAGTAACTTTGAGGGTTTCTGGCCTGTACAGAGCCCTGGCTTTAATACTTAGATGCACTTAAAGGCCTTCTTTACCTGGATCAGGTGTGTTAGATTAGTCAGAGCTACATGAAGATCTCCAGGACTAGAACAGAAAATTAACCAAAATCAGCCATGGTGTTTACTGTGTAGCCTACCAAGCAGTACTCACATAATGATCACTATGCCTGCATATTTTCATTTTTGTTGAGTTTTACATCATCATTTCACAATTATTGGACCAATAGAAATGCTCCCAAATCACTTGGAGTATAACCTCTTTAAAAAAACTATACTGAAAGTTAAGAACACTTTTGCCTTTTCCTGTAAAGTTACTATTTTGTTATAATGTTTTTGTTTGGACAGCGACAGTGTTTTGAGATGTTTCGTCATACTTGTTATGCCTCCCTGATTTACAAACCTCATTGTAAATTTTGCACTGAGCATTTGACGATTGTCTTATAGGCATCTTTGATCTTTTAACTTCAGTGGCCACGTGGAATGTGATGCGCTTAGTTGTACATTATCACCTTTCTGTTTTCCATGTTCCTTAAACCCTTTCCAACAACTAGTTCTCTGTTTTCTGTGGACCACAATATAGCTGGACAGACAGCAGTTCTGAGTCACTCAAATGTTTCGTGACACTTGAGTTGGACAGTCTATTCAGACATCAGTCCATTCCATTCAGTTCCATTTGGAGTTTGCTTTGTTTTCCAGCCCCCACTGTACAGCTCATAAAGGCTGGAATGGAACCTATGTAATTCTTTAATAGACAGGCCCTCTGGCTACCAAGTACCATTTAGAGCAGTTGTCCTTATTTCAGTTTGGCTCATTGTCCTGTACTCTGGCCTCGATGTTTGCCTCCTACCCACGGGTGTTGCCTTGGGCATGGACAGCTGTGGCTGTGGATGTCCTGTGGTCATTCGCATGCATTATTCATCACTTCTTACATCAGGTTTGGTACTTATCCAACAAGTGCCACAAATGCCTTTCTCTCTTTTGGTTTTTCTACCCGTGCATGAGTGAATATGCAGTTCCAGAGGGTCATGAAGTTACCATACACCTTTCCTAATCATGTTCTCTCGGCTCCTTTTCTGCTGATTTCACTGTAAAACTACACTGAGCGCTGAGGCCCCAGCATGAGAAACAGAAGTGAGATGATACAGCTTGTACCTGCCGCATCCTCCCTGCTTTTATGTAGGTCTCTGTTTTTCAGGTTAGACTGAAAAGGAGCGCAGCTACTTTCCACAGCAGCTCCCTGAAGGCCTGGCTCATTTTCGTAATGGCTTTGAGGAGAGAGGATGACGGCAACACTAGCACCCGCTCTGAACAGTTACTCAAGGACGCTAGAGCAGCGAGCTCTGAAAATAGACTGGGTTTGACACCGAGTTTTGCGCTGAAGTGCTCTGCTCTTATTCATAACCCTGTTGCAGCGCTGCTCCTTTTTAGCTGGAGGAGAGGCTCTTTAGTGAGAGGGAATAGAGCAGCACTACAACTTGTGCAACTCAAGCTCCTCCAAAGAGGCTGAGCTAAAAAAAAAGATGCTTTGTGTTTTGTGAATGCGACTTGTTTTATATTATCTTTATGAGAAACACTCTTAATGGTATAACCAGATATGTAAACTGAATTACTGCTATGTGAGTTATCTCGTTTAAATGAAAGCCTTTCAATGCCTAAGGATTATAAGTTGCAGGTGTAGTGCCCGTAGCAGTTAAAGAGGAATCCCAGAAGGCGCCGAGCCTGCAGTCTCAGCGGACCCACACCTATCTAGGTCCAGATGGAATTGGTTTGTTTTGCCATCACAATAGCAGAGGATGAAGATAGTGTTTTGCTTGAAGCCACTTATAGAACCCTTATGCTTAATGCTTTCTTTGTGTCTGTGTTTTTGCTTCGCGTATGCAATTTTGTGCTCTTTTAATACAGAGACTTTGCTTGCGAACTCATACATCATACTTCTTTCATCAGTATACGTTAAGGAAGCGCCGTCTCTCCTGGGGCTCGGCTAATTTGTTGTGTTTAATGATGTGTCAGTCTGGTGATGAATGGTCAGCTGGCACACTGGCACATGTGTGACCACAAAGCAGAGGTTTGGCACATTGGCAGTGAGAGAGGGAGAGAGAGATGGTAGCCCTGTTGATGGATAGATCCTTCCATAAAATAGGCCGGACGTCCTGCCTGGCTTGGGTGAGAGGTGTCTGACAGACTAACGTTTGCTTGGTAAGGTTTGATTTTCATGTTTTATGTTTCATTTTTTGGAACATTCTGTATTATGTATTAAATGATCTACTTTCAGAGGAAAAGACGCCGTTCTACAGATCTGATTGTTGATATCATGCAGTGTGTGGCAGAGCTGGCTTGTTCCAGAGGAGCGTCAAGCATCCAAGTTAATCACAGCAGGGTTTAATCACTAAATTTTTGGGCCTTAAAAAAGTTTTTTGTAAACTGAAATATTAGTTTGGCTTGTTTTATTGAAATATAGTGTTAGTAAAAGATAATAAAATACATGAACTGTGGTGTTTCATCTTTGCCATTTTATTGACCAGTAAAACCAGCAGGAGCTCGTCCGTCTGGATAGTCACACATGTCCCTCTGATTGCAGAGCAGTCAATTTCCTATAGCTTTCCTCAAGCCCTGATAATCAAAAGCAAATCTATTTGGACTTCCTTATTGACTTGTGTAAACAGTATTTATTGTTGCTTTATGGAGCTATTAACAATATCCTTGTACATATTATGGAAATATATGCGAATTTGTTGAAATTTGCCCAGTATAAAGAATAAAGCACTCAGTCATACATAGATTTTTCTGAAATAAATTAACTAAACATGAAAAATTAACTTGATCACACAATTACACTTCTTCCCAGGGAACATAGTGTAAAATAAAAAAAAAATGTTTGTATGATATTAAAATTGAGAGTTATAATAAACTTTGAGTAAAGTTTGCAAGAAAAAAATAGAAATATAATAAAACATGGCGCTTATCAGACCCATATTAGAACTGTCTGGGTGTGGCTGTAACATTGTGATGAGTGTACCTGATTGACAGCTGTCAGTCCAACACTCCCAGCCAGTGAAGCAGACCTAAACTCAGTGGTGTGAGTGGGAGAAGTGAGGTTAGGACCGCCCAGCTGCCCAGTTTCTATCCAGGAGGAGAATGTTGGCAAAATACATCAGCCATTTAGTGGGCATTGGAAAGTTATTCACAGGATATATTTGGTAGATGCATATTTTGTGCCCACCAGAGCAAGATTAACCTACTTAAAAAATAAATAAATAAATAAATAAATAAATAAATAAAAACTGATTAAGATTTCCTAGGGCTTTAACACGTGCTTCATGTGTATATATGAAAGCCCTGTTAGCTTCAAAGAGGAGGCTTCTTCCACATACACTCTACCTTGCCTCTGCTGCTCATCTCCAAAACAGGTGTCAGATGTTCTGCTATGGGTTTGCTAGAGCAATAAAAAAGAAACTCAGCAGTAACAATGGCTTAGTGTTCCAGTGTATTCGGTGCAGTTTGAATTAGATAAAGTAATAAGCTGCTATATTGAGACACAGATGGCATTGTGAAACATGACTGTAGCACAAATGTAGCGTCTGTTACGATGTCCTGCTGTATCACAAACCTTACCCACACAGTTTTATTCCAAGGCTTAGGGTTTTTATTAAAACCAAAAAAATCACATTTATGCAATTGTCCTCTTTCCCCAAATGTAGTCTATTGGCCAAGACAAGATTGGTGTCTGATGGTTGCTTCTTAAGTTTTGCACTGGAGCTGCAAGGCTAATGTAGCTAACAAGTTACGGAAAATCTGTTTGGGTGACATAGGCATATTATAACAGCCTCATAGCTCTATTGCAAAACTATCTAAACAAACTTTATACTTTTCAAAAATCAAACAAAATCTTACGCCTTATTTTTAAGAACTACTATGCTTCTTTGAACTAATAAGTATGTATGAGGTTTTGGTTTAAGGCATTGAATGTACTGGTGTCTCAGTGCAAAACTAAACCACGAAAATAATTTACCCTGCCTTGTCTTGTTTAAATTGCCCTCACTTGTTTTGTTGTATAAAGTGTAGTGATAATAAATGCAGTAATTGGAGACTAGCTTACAAGTTAAGGCAGTCACTATCCAGAAAACATTTGCGTAATCTGGTGTCAGGTTTTAGAGTGTAAACTTTCTATTGAAAGTGGGGCTTCCAAGTCCTTCCAAGGGTCTACAAGTCCATGGGAAAGAGGGCGGAAGACAGCAGAGATGCTGTGAATATGCCCTGAAGCGACAGTTTCTCAAGATAAGAGGATGTGGGTTTTCTGTCACTTCCTCCATATTGCTTTCCACTGTAATTACCTGGGAATCCAGCCTGGCTGTGGCCTCTGCAGATTTCTGGAGCCGGACTGGTGGGAGTATTGGGTGGAGGATGGGCCTGCCTTAACCCTTTAATGGCCTAAAGCAGGGGGGTCTCAGCTCTAGTCCTGGAACCCAGTGTCCTGCGTAGTTCTCTACTACTTTTCCCTGACTCACACCTGATTCAGCACATAAAAAGGCTTGATAATTAGCTAACGAGTTGGATCAGGTGTGTTAAGGCAGGCAATACTTGAAATTGTGCAGGGCAATGGCTCTACAGGACTGGAGTTGACTGGCCTGCAGGAGCCTGCCTTTATCATGCTCACTGTGCCTCAGTTCATGGTCTCAGATTCCAACTGTGAACTTTATACCACTGTGGGGAGAGCATGTCCTGTGGTTTGCTGAGAGAGATGAATCTTAATAGTCCAGAGAATGCTTTGCGACAGTGAGCTTATTTAAAATTGACTGGATAGCAAGCAAACTGTCCATGAAAAGTCTGGGCAATATGGAAAAAATAAATAATCATGATATGTACCACAATATTTAGTTTTTTGGAGTTTTGGGGAGGCCTGTCATGATTCTGAAATTTTTAGTTAATGAAGACTTGCCATAGCAATGTCTATGTCTTTTTTGTTTATTGTATTCAACGATTAAAGTACAAGCCTAAGGTGGCCAAGTCGGCTGATTAGTGATCTTGCTTCCTAGCTGGTGATACTTAATAACTCCCAACTGGTGACATTAACAGCTCAAGCTCAAATAAACAAACATTACTCACTTCTCTTGGGTTGTGCACCAGTTAGACATTAGAACTTCTTTTGTTTTCGTAACATCCATAACATGCCTCAATAAATGCACTTTCTGCTTTCTCTTATCAACATGAATTTGCCTCAGCCTAACTGACGAAACGTTTGGGGAAAAAAAACTGCAGTCAGCTTAAATAATTGCAACCAACTCATATAATTGCAATGAGGCAATCATATAATAACTGAGACAGTCATAGGTTTGTGAACAAGTTGGAAGGGACAATATGCACTAGCGCAAAGTTAGCACCACATTGCTGCTTGTTACGGTCCATTTACTGTATGCTCATTCTTTGCAGGCTCACTGGAATTGGTCTAAATCTGTTTTTTGTTCATATTTTGATGTGATACGTGCTGTTCTTGAAGTATAATATACTCACAAAAGCATATGTTGGCATAATTTATCAAAATTGCTATGACATATTACCAAATTGCCCACAGCTTGTCCATAGGCTCTCAGAAAACCCCATTCTTTTGTGGGAAATTTGCTGGCCTGTCCTTCTCTAGCTCATCAGATATGTTCTGTTTTCTCGATCAGATCGAGGTTCTCATGTTCGCAGATGGATAGACTGCTCTTTGTCTCGGCTGAAGGGACTGTAAATATTAGCATGCGCCTGAGGATGTAATGCACCTGGGTTACTCACTCTGATTATACTGCCACAAAGGGACCATGGCACCACTGCTATCTCAAACCTTTATTATATATGTCTGTCAATGCATGAATTCCCCAATCGTGAGTCATCACACTGGCCAAATATAGGCTAATGAGTATGTTGTAGTTCTGTGGATATTAAATAAGATGACTCATTCTCAGTCAGTGCTGAGATTAAGGTGCTGTTTGTTAGGCAATGTGACAAATATGCTGATGGACACAGACATTATTACACTGAAAAGTGTCTGTAGAACACCTTGAATTAGCTAAAGAGTTCTTTGCTTTTTCACGTTGTTTGAATATAGACCATTGAAATCTGTGGCTTCTTGGAAGATCACCTCAGGACAGATAATGTAAACAGTCCTGTATTGTCTAGGGGATGTTAAATGGCCAGCTATTTGAAAGCATTTTAAAACTTATCCACTGTTTCTAAAACCCAAACAAACACATGCATGTTAATCTCATTTAATAGGAGGGAAAAAAAACTTTTTCAAACGTGCTGATAGAGTATAAGGTTGGTGAGTGTTTGTTCTTTAGGCTATTTCTTAAAGAAAGAGAGAGATAGGTCTGCATATCGTGGCGTGTGCATTTTGTGCAAGGACATCTGTGAACTGCCTGTGGCTCGTCTCCCAGCTGCTCCTTTGAGATAAGAAGTTTCATTCACATCAGCCTGACCTCAGTAAAAGCCCTGTCCCGCAAGCTCAGCCTCTCACAAACTTCCACTGCAAATCGCTGCACAAAGACGACGCTTTTTCACGCTACGTATGTGTGTTTTTTTTTCTTAATCTTTGTTTTTTGTGGTTTTGAACGGGAAGAATGCTTCCTTGTGTTTAAGTAACAAAAGAAAAAACATGCACAGGCATGATGTAAAGTTGTGTACTGTCTGCTCCAGTATGTCAGCAGCTGTCGATCATGGGGGAAGAGCAACTGACAAGAATTGCAAAAAAATCAAGTTCCCAAAATGTAGTCGGTCAGTAAAGACACGTTTGGTGTCTGAACTTTGCTTCCTCAGTTTGTTCTTCAGTTTGATGCTGGAGCTACAAGCCTTAATGTAACTAACCATTAATGTAAGCTTGTAGCTGCCAGGTTAGAATTACGCAGCTGTACTTCTAAGTCATTTATCACTTGCCTTAAAGGAGTTTTCCAAATCAAGTTTACACAAATGAACAAAACTTCACTGTGTAGCTGAATACAGCAGGCTGCATTTTACACAACAGGCGATTGTGCCAAAATCAGACTTGCAGACATATGGATGCTACGGATTGTGCTACAGGATGATATGATTACAGAATGTTTAGTGTTAATTTTTAATGTAAACAACTGTTAATGTTGAATTTTTGTACTGAAAATATATTTATAAGTAGAAACAAAAATTGTGCATGTAATCTGTTGTGTCCATATGCCTGTGTGTCATGCATGCACACCGGCATGAGTTGATGTTGACACAGCACTCCATTTGTGGAATATTGACGCCCACAGTATTTAGCTACACTGTGAAGTTTTGTTAAGTTTTATAATTACATTTAACTACATTTGTATTAACAAGACAAATGGTTCAGCCTTAACAGAGAGCTGGATGCGATTTGGGCTTCTTGAGAGACGTTTTGCTATGTATTTACAGGAAAGATTTGGGTGCCTATTGACTTCTAATGTTTTGGCGATGCTAGTCTCATGGCTTCGAGCACTAAAATAAAAAGAAGCCAAACTTTGACATCAAACATGTTTTGACTTAATGATTACCTTTAGGGTAAGTGGGAAAACACTTGTTTATATGGCTTCTGATACAATGGGACATACTGTTATCAATAAATACTGGCGAAAATATGCTGCACAGCTTAAAAGCCTGAATTTTGCCTGTATTTGGATTCATTTTTATAGATAACAGTATGTCATACAGAGTCAGAAATGTGACCCAGTTTGGCGTAAGTGTGCGGTGATTTCGTCTTTCAGTTTGCATTAATGTTAATAGGTGAAGTAAAAGCTTCCATTACTTTAGCTTTGTAGCTTCAGTGCCAAACTAAAGAAGCAAACTTCAGATAACAAACTTGTCTTGGCTGACCAGCTACATTTGGGGTAAGGTGGAAACTGTGAGAAACCTGAACTTTCAAAGAACCTTCAAACAATTCAGAACAATTCAATAAGATCTCCTGCAAAATCATGTGGTTCCCTCCATGCCTTCGGCAATCCGTGGTGAGTTTGCTCCTACCTGCTCACCAGCCTCTGCCCTTTTCAGTCTCACCACAGAGAGAGGCTCCTTTCCCACATCTCTTGCCCTGTAGGACAGGAATTCTGTAGCTTCTCTCTTTTTACCTCTCATAATGTCCCTGTTATTACTTTGAA